CCTGGGATCGAACCACCGACCTTCTGATTAGTGGCTGAATTAGTGGCTGACCTGCTCTGCCACCTGAGCTACAGTCACCCCATTAGCAGTAGAGCTCCTGCTGCTCCTCATTGAAAGGAGTCAGCGGCGTCAAAAGCCTAAAAGAGAAAGGAGGTGGGCGAGGAGGAGGTCTGAGCCTCTGTGCTCTGTGCGAGCCGGGCGTGGGCACGCCATGGCGGTCTGAGTTGTTGACCTTTCAGCATCTGTCTGTCTACTTCCTGTCTGACAGTCGGACACAGAGTTCTGGGACAAGATGCAGGCAGAGTGGGAGGAGCTCGCTCGGAGGAACTGGCTGGAGGACTCCGAGGACCAGCAGCCGATCCCGCCCACTGTCTCACCTGCAGAGAAGGTGAGCTCAGGACAAGCCTCCAGATAGAAACAGCACACACACACACACACGCACACACACGCACACACACACACACACACACAGTCGTGTTTTCATATCTTAGTGAGGACATCTCATTGACATAATGCTTTCCCAGCTGCTGACCCAAACCCGGAGCCTAACCATAACCTAACTGTCACCATGACACTAAAACCACATTTTGACCTTTTGTCTTCAAACTCGTGGGGACGGTTACTATACCTGTGGGGACGGTGGTCCCCACAGGTATAGTAACATGCCAAATTATGGTCCCCACAAAGATATGTAAATGTGGTGTACACACACAGACGAAAAACAGGGAAAAATCCCAGAATTCCAGAAAGCACAGAGTGAAAGTTGGATTCACACAAACCAACGTTTGAGACGAATGAGCTTGAGCTGTCTCCACAGCAGCTCGGTGAATAATGCAGACGTGACGACTGCACATTCAGATTCCTCCAGTCTTTGAGCTGTTAGCGCTGCTGTTAGCGCTGCTGTTAGCGCTGCAGCGCGACGCTAACACCGCACATCGAGTCTGTGACACCGGAGGTGACCTGAGGGGCGACGAGCAAAAAGGCAGCAGCCAGGTTCACATGTGTGAGCAGATGTTTGGTAGCGTGTTAGCGTCACCTCCATGCCGCCATGATGTAACACCTGAGGGGAGAAGGGATTAGAGCGGGATTACCGAGGCGCCCACAGCTGATCTGAAGCCAGCTGCAGATTAAAGCAGCCAAACATCCAGCCCAGCAGTAATCTGACATTATTAATGACTGCCCCAGTGCATGCTGGGAAAATGTTTTCAATAAAAAGATGGGAGGAAGGTGAAATGTCAGCGCACACATGTTAACACAGAGAGGCAGGAAAGGGCGGAGCCTGTGGAGTATTACAGAAAGGTCTATTAGTCAT